ACAACAAATATTTGTTATATATATGTCAACATTTATCCGCAAGAATATAGTTGAGTTTCATTTTCGTGAGCATTAGTGCTCTTTCGATGCATAGAACGAAGTAACACTATTATTCACTTTTATCATCGCCAATGAACAAATCATGCTGAAATTTTTAACTATAATTAATTAATTAGTTCATCAAATGCTCCAGATTGACCTTTTTGCGATCAGTTTTGTTGCTTTCATTCATTATACAAAAAAAATATGATGTACAACATTTTGTCTGTCATCCTATTCTAGAATTAATCACCTCTTAACACTTGAGTGATTCATAAAATTTAATACTGGATTGAAATGAATGAGTAAATTGAAGCTCAGATTGCAGCACTTTCATGTAGCTGAACTAGTCTACTACCGATTACTCAAGACGCTGAGAGTGACAGACAGTACTTGAGAAAGGGACTAGGTTTTACACGAAATACCTGGAAATCAAGCGAAAATTTCATTCAAATACATCGCATATTCATGAAAATGTAAAATATCATTAATGAAAATGTGCAACAGCACAAACATGTCGAGAAAAAAAAAGATTATTCGAAATCATTAACATATTTTGAAAAAAATAGGGTTAGACATACACGAGAAAAACTTTCAAATAAATTAATCTGATCTCTGTAGTCTATTACAATTTATTGAAAATAATTATATTTCTCTATTCAAGAGTCGCGTGTGGGTGTGGGTGTGGGGTGTGAAGTGTGAGTGTGGGTTTTGTTTTTGTCCAGCACACACCCACACCCACACCCACACCCCACACCCACACCCCACACCCACACCCACACCCACCCACACCCACCCACACCCACCCACACCCACACACACTCCACATCCACATCCACACACCCACACCCAACATAGGTCGTGGCAAGCTACGTTGAAATTGAATTTATCTATTGTCGATACTATCGATCTAAAATGTTTTGATTCATATCCTGAGCGTGTGGATGTGAGCCAATGTCACCCGATAAGTTACATAGTAATAAAGAAATAAAGACTGAAATAAGCAGATACATTGAGGATCAGATACAATAGATAAAGACGTGAGTGTTTCAATATATTGGAACAATAATGGATAGTTTGCTCTAGTTTAACTGCAATAGCTCAACGGGTGCTGTATATTTCGGCAACTAATTTATCTTTAGAACATCCGTTTTTGAAAAGTAGAAATACAATAAAAAAGTTGTCATGAACGTTTGCATAGAAGTAAAGTAAATCAGTTATTATTTGAGTGTGGGTGTAAGTTTTGAAGAGATGAACACTCACACTCACACCAAAATAAACCAGTTGATTCATCTAGATTTTATTAAATAGCTTAAATGTTTGTTCTAGTATTATTTAATAAAAGAAATTAAATTGCGATTAATAAAATAGTCTATCCATCATGAATAACGAATTTTAATGACCATGTCTATGTTTCTCCATTGAATGGATGGGCAGAGCCAGATTTATACTAGCGACGGCGTCATCGAATATCTGTCCGTAGCTTTGACTCAATTGTTCTTTGTATAAGTTCACTTCATTTTCGGTTGCCATACCATCGTAGTGCCATTTCACCCAATTATCTGAGATTGAATATTTGTGTTCCCAATCACATTGACTATCGACATGTTCGAAACCGCTGATATAGTCGTCCACATCGTCAGCCGTAGCTAGTGGCGCACCAATCCAAGCAGCACTTCCTGGTTTACTAATACATTTGAAACGGTGTGATTGAGTACTAATAAACGAGAGTCGATCTTCAATGCATTTTGTTTTGTAATCGTTCAAGAGTTCAATTAAGCTTGTCTTTCTCTTGGCCACCTCGTCGTTTTTATATAAGAAAAATTTTAAAACACTTACATATACAGAAGCGAAGCCAACAAGAAGTGGTGATGAAAAAATACTTGTTTCCCATAGAATGTAGTTTTTGTTGGCAAACAGATGGTAAACGAAATCGCAAGAACGTAGAGCTATAGTAGCATTGTTATTTTCATTTTGCTCGTTCAAGGTGTTTTCTTCCATACTCTTGAGACATTCACCGATGACATGGAGGTTTGCTGATATCAATGCTGATGCAGTCTTTTCACTTTCGTCTTTGACAGAATTATCAATTGTTTCTTCCAACGCTGCGATGACTTCTTCAGATTTGAAGTACTTCAAAATGGTTTTAAGAACATCGACGTATTTGAAAACGACTAGTGGACCTAAATCAACCGGGCTTAGCGAAACTGCACTGCTTATTGGTGACAATGAATTAAGTAATATCAGAGAGCAGTCTATTAATTCATTATTATTTTGATTATTATTATTATTGCCATTATTAATCACTCGTTTAAAATTTGCGGCGGGCGCTGGAAATATTTTTCCTTTCGTCCAGCCATCCTCAATTTGACTTGAACCCGAACCCATTTTTTAACGAAGAAGCGAATAATGTTCTGACTGTATCTAAAATTGGTAAAACATTGTCTTATCATTGATCAGTTAGTGAAACATAGAAGTCTTCAGAAATATAGCTCCTTGGAATTGAACAAATGCTTGAGACATGTGGAAAATTTTAAAATTGTTAGTATTAAGACCTCACATAAAAAATAACTCGAAATTAAATTGTTTCTCACAAGAAGTAAACAGCGTACTATTCGACTTCAAGATACGTTTTGAGCTACTTAGAGTTATTTCAACCGCTTCAAAGATAATTTTTAGGTACTTGGCCTTGTTTTGGGCTCCTTGACTGGTGTTTCAAAGTACTTTAAGCTACTTTGAACTACTTCCTGCGACTTTAATTACTTGAAGTACTCATGATGTACATGTAGCGGTCAATTTGTAACGTTATAAGTTTAACTGTTTTAGTTTTTTGCTTGCTATCAATATAAACCTGAATAGCTGAATGATATCAGAGGAGTAGGCGGAGTGTCTAATATCGAAAAATGCTTCACAATAATTTATTCAGGAAAATTTATCAAAGAAACAAAACCACAATAGGATATACACGCGAGTTAAAAGGTACTAAAACAGAAAAAACGTTCGTATGCTGCTTTTTTATTAAAATAAATACTACTATCATTGTGACATAATGAGGCCAGACGCAGAAAAGTTTTAGAATTGGGTTAGATCCAGTTGAAGTTTATTTGATTTCCTGAAAGTGTTTTTTTATACTTCACCATGAGATAAGCCGAGAAAATTTAGAATCAGAAGAAAAGGAAAACAACAAGTCAAAATGGTCCTTGAAAAGGTATATTTGTCAAAAAAAAACGACTTCTCACAAAGTTTGCACGAAGGCCTTCGGGATCGAGGAATCCGAATTCTTTGATTTTTTTCTACAAAAAAAGCTAATCGAACATTTTGAGAGAAGGTTTAGAGATTCTGATTCCTCCACTTCCGAAAACCTTTGATCATACTTTTTAACGATTCGTTATATTTGAAAAAAAAACAGGTAACGAAAATTCAACATATACAAGTTCTGCATTACTCGATCACCTAACTACTCTAACTTTCATTCTTTCACAATTCAAGTATCACCTCAAGTGGACCTATTACTATCTTTTTGTTCTTTTTCGATAAGTCTAGCTACTTCAGACTCTCATTAATTCAGTTACATTTAAAAAAATGATCAACCTCAGGTCAAGCGGAGCAGGATGAGATTGACGATATTGAAAAAGGCATCACTCATACTCTCATTCACATGCACACCTTGGACACAATAGGTATATGAACCTAAATCACAGCAAAAGAAAAGCATGCTCTTTCGTGCCTATATCTATTAGGGCAATGGTAAAGAGAAAGATACCGTTGTCATAATGGTTGATTTAAATCATAGCACAAACATCATCTCACTGGGAGAAAAAAAAACACTTCGGTGGATCGATATGTTTGACAACGATGATGAAGAAATAGATACCACTTCCAGAATGAAGTAGCGCATACGTTCTAGAACCTCTTCTCAACGATAGACGAAACAGAACGAATAAAAAAATTCCATCGTCTCCATAAAAATAATGACGATAGTATAGAAAAGAAATACCCTTCTGACAATGACGCATAACATAGTATATAGGAGAACCATTTTAGTGATAGAAAAAAAACAAAAAAAATACCAATGCATATATTGCACAAGCTATCAATTTTCGACACACGAGTGGAAGAAAAGAGCAGACTACACTATGTAATGGCATCACGTTTTTGTAATGATATTTGTTCTTTCTTTCTACCGTTGTCTAATTGGGCTATCGACTAAGTAACTCGAAGAAAAATCGAAACAAGCAAGAACAAGACATGAATAAACCTTTAAACTTGCGATAAAATCAAACTACAGAAGAAAAACAGATTGAAGGAAGAATGAAACGAAGAGAGAAAGAGAAGAAAAAGAAGAAGATACTTACCTAGAAACTGAGCTACTCATATTAAAAAAGAAACACAAATAATCTCTCTCTTAATCAACTGTATATACTCGGTATGTACATAAG